AAATCATGATGATAGAATGTTTGTAAAAAGTATAGAAAACCTGGAGGAAATATGCTAAGATATAAACATTTCCTCTTTAAATGTTCTACAATAAATGTATAATAGATTATATAAACTGAGTTTTTAAAATAATTTTAAAAACCTAACAATGTACTCTCTTGTAGTGAATCTGTAAATAAAAATACTTGCATGTTCATCAAAGATGAAATTTTATGCACACCTTCCCAAGTACTATCCTCTTTATAGATTTTAACCCAAATTTCTTGGATCCTATAGTGGACTGTGTTGATTGGTATTATGGGTTTCTTGGCTACAGGGAACTGGATAGTTCAGTGGGTTCAATATGAGTAGATTAAAGTTCAGTGACTGAAGGATTCAGTCATTTCTGTAGACATCTTGTAAACTTAATAAGTTTCTGTCACATGGGCTGAAATTAGAGAAATTAATTCCAGGCTTGCACAAAAGATAAGCCTAGGTCCATGTTGATAAAATATGTTGCAGCAGAAATGTCCCATAGATACACATGATCTTCATTAGAATTACATGTAACCTATATGTACTTAATTGTATCTTATACAGTTAGTCTTTTAATATTTAAAATTGTAGTAAAACAGGATGTCATGTGGCTTACAGTTAAGTCATTTTGATAAGAAACTTTACATTTATGAAAACAGACTTTAAGAAATAAGTCATATGTGCAAACGCACACAAATATAATTCAAGGAGTCAGCAATGCATACATTTACACAATATATTTATACAAAAAAAAAAAAACCTTAGTCCAATTCCCATTTCCCATTCAAAAGGTAACAATAGACATTAGATTTTTTGTCTTCTAAGAGAGTTTCTAAACATATATAAACTAATCTATACGGTTTTTATACAAATGACAATCAATACAATTTTGTCTTTTTCTTTTGTTTGTTAAAATGTCTTGATGTTGATTAAATTTCAGTCCATATAACCTTATTCTTTTTAGGGACTGCAACATAATGAATTTATTTATTTATTTATTTTATTTATTTTATTTTTTAAGGAGGAAGGAGGATCCAGGAGGAGGAGGAAGTGAGCAACATAATGAATTTAACTGGCTGCTTAATGACAAAAACTTAAATTGTTTCCAAATTCAGGCTATTACCAAAAATGCTGAAAAAAATTATATTTTCTTCCTGTGCATCTGTGCATTAAATTCTTGGAGGCAGAACTGGTGGATCGAAGTTTTGTACATTTTTTAAAGATACTATCAAACTGCACTCTAAAGAATTTGAATCAATTTAGACTCCAGACAAAAAGTTACATTTCTAATACAATATTTTATCAACATTTTTGTAGTTGTCAATCTGATATGTTAAAAAATGTTTTATTTTCTGTATATCTTATAATGAGGAGGCTGGGCCACTTTTATTATTTGTTTGAAAGCAACTTGTAACTCTATTTCTGTGAACTGCCTGTTTGTCATTTGTTCATTTCTCTGTTAGCTTTTCATTTTGTTTTGTCTTCTTTATATGAAAGGTGTTAACATTTTATATTAAAATTATCTTTTCAAAACTTAACACTTGTCTTTACTGCATTTTTGTCATGCAATTTTATTTTCTTTTTGAGACAGGGTCTCTTTCTGTTGCCCATGCTGGAATGGCTTACTGCAGCCTTGACCTCCCAGGCTCAATAAATCCTCCTGCCTCATCCTCCTAAGTAGCTGGGACTACAGGTGAGTACCACCATGCCTGGCCAATTTTTAAATTTTTTTATAAGTGTGGTTTCGCCATGTTGCCCAGGATGCGCTAAGACTCCTGGGCTCAAGCAATCTGCCTACCCTAGCCCCCGAAAGTGCTGTGATGACGGGCATTATCACCACCACCCAGCCTTATCATGCAATTCAAAACAAGTTTTGTAGTCCAATTTTAGACGTTTTCCTTTTTAAAGAACAGTATACCTGTCTCTTTCATCCTGAAGGATGAGTACTATAAAACTGAATTTTAGTACAATGCTGTCATATATGACTATGAACATTTCTGTATATTTTGTTTATGAACGTTAACTGGTTGTAAAATCCCTCAGGCAAAATTCTTCACTACTATGCTTGCAATAAATATCATAACCATCAATATTAGGGAAGAAGAAAAAGGAAGGGGATTTTAAAGGAAGCAGTTGAAAGAGGACACTTAGAAAAAATGAGGCAATACGGAAAGCTTTGTGAAATACATTTCTTCTGTAGTAAATGACAGCTAATATATTCTAGAAGACAATATTCTGTATAAATTAGCAATCATTATCAATTTTTCCTTATACACACGCACACATTATAAATATACGTAATATCACATCACTACCCATAATATATAATTCAGCCTATATTCCAAATTATTTACAAAAATATCATTACTACACTACGCACTACACACACACACACACACACACACACACACAGACACACAAACACACACAGTGTGTTTCAACTTGTTCTTTTTTCCATTTTGTGTTTTAACTTTAACTTCTTATATGCTTTGGACTTATTTCCAAGTTAGAACATTTAGAGCTACAATGTTTTAAACTGTATATTAGTCCACTTTTGAATATATCACAAAATATGTAACCAATTCCCAATCAGTTGCTACAGAGTTGTAGCCATGTTTTCTATATTGTAAACAATTCTACTTTAAAAATCTTTGACAGAGATTTTTATTTGTACACTTGGCAGCATGTTTTGCAGAATAAATTCCAATAAGTAAATGAACATTTGTAAATCTGAACAGCTTTAATCCAAAAAAGTTTCACCAATTCACATTTCCACTAAAAGTTTGTAAAATTATATTTCCCTCATTGCATTTTCAACACCACCAAAAGTTATCAGACTTTCAATATTTGTAAAATTAATACAAAAATTGATGTCTTTATGTTTCTTTGGATAATTAGTGTGGCTAAGAGTCTTCACTCTGCTTAATATTTGCATTTCTTTTCCTTTGAGCTGACTCTATTTTTTCTATTAACAATGTCCCCAGTTTGTATCCTTTTTGGGGAATGCAAATATTAATAAAAATCATGTCCCTAAGTGAGTCTAGGTTTTTGTATCATGCTTAGAAATGCTTTTCCCACATGCAGTGTGCACAGATATCTATTCAGGCTTTCTTTTTTCCTTTTTAGGCTGCATATTTAGATTTAAACTAGTAAGCCATCTACACTACATTTGTCTATTAACAGTGAGGAAAAGTTTCAGTTTTATTATTAGGTTTCCCAAATAAATACCTGTTTGTCCAAGTACACTCAATTAAATGTTATTTCTTCTTCCCCACCCACTGATTTAAAATGTATGCTTATCAAATGCCAGCTTTCCTTTTATTCTTAAATGTCCCTTCAGTTTCATTTGCACATCTGGTAGTAGGTCTATTCCATTGTCTTTTAATCAACACAGTTTTGTAACACTTTTTATTATATGAAGAAGTCTCCGCTATATATGTGTGTATATATGTCAAAATTATATTTTATAAAATATACATTTTTATATTTGCAATATATTATACATAATATTAATATATAACTTTTGTTCTTCCACATGAGCTAAACAGTACAGTTAAAAACATTAACAAAAATATTCAGTTAGGATTCTATTTATACATTGTTTTACAGAAATGATATCTTTACCTAGAAAAATGTTATGTATTTTATTGGATTCTCATGCATACCTTTCATATCTTCTTAAAAATAACTTCTCAATTGTATGTTATTTCATGCCAAACTGAATTTTACTTATTTCTACTGTATTATCTAGTTTATGTATAAACATCATTTGATTCCTACAAATTAAGTATGATGCAATTGGACACTGATAAATTCACTTACGGTTCCCATCAAATTTCAGTGCTTCCTATGGACATTAAGGTACATAATCACATCGTGCACAAAGTAATAATATGTTCCCCAACCTGTTGTCACTCGCCCATAGGATTCAAAACCATGTCACAGAGCGTAATGATTAGCATTCCTGTGTTTTTCAAATTTAATAATGGCAAGGCTACTAGTATTTCACAGTTAATCATGAGAGCAGATAGAAGGAGGTTGTCTTCTATGACTATTACAGGAGAATGCAATCTAAATTATGAAATCTACTCCCCTTTAAACAGTATCAAGTTTGGTGTATTATACCTCCATCTGTACCTATTTTGGTGGCTCCATTTTAAATGCAATATAAAATTAAAAACTAAATTGCAGATCCTAAGGGAAGATAAAGCCACAAAATAAGAGAAAATTGTAAGTCTTTAAATATGAACGTTTTATTTTTAGAAACAAATCAAGCACAGCCCCAAATCGCCCCAGTTTGCCAGAATTTACAATGTGAGAGAGGGCTCTCTACGGTCACCGCCTCCAGTCGCCGGAGCACGTAACGAAGTTACCATAAAGCATTTTTACCTGCGAGGGCCCAGGCCTGAGTCCCTGAGAGCCGCGCCGTGGAAACGCCAGTTGGAGACCCAAGAGAAGCCCAACCAGGCGACCTGTCACGTCCGAGCAAACCGCGAGTGAGGCGCCCATGAAGTGCGGCCAGATCCCTATCCCTGGGCTGCAAACTCTGGGCTGCAAACAGCTGGCACCCAAACCCGCTACGTCTCCACCGCAGACTCGCGCCCGACACCACGAAACTTCTACAACCACCTGAGAATGCCGGACGAGCGCCATGTCCGGAACTGCCGGCGCAGGACGCCGCGCGACCCCCGCGCCTCCCCGAACGACACCCTCGGCCCCACAGACGGGCGCCCACGCCACCCCGTCCTGCTCTGCGCCCGCCTCTCCGGCCCCACTCACCGCCTGCCCCGCAGACTGCTGGGCACCGGCGACGCCAGATGCGGGGTCTAGTAATATTTGCAGAGAGGAAAGGGAAAGGAGCGGAGGCAGGGAAAGATGACGGAAGAGGATTTTTCAACTTAGAAACAGTCAGCGCGGGGTCCGGGGGTGGGTCAGGCTCGCCTGGACCCTCCTTCCCCTCACGCGGCCACCCCGCCCCGCGCTGGGAGAGCTGCCAGTCCGCGAGTGCGTCTTCCTGGAAGGGGTGGGGCACAGTGAAGTCCGCTGAAACCCAAAAGCCTAGGGGGAGGGAGAATGGAGAAACCAAGTTGTCACTGCTCTGATGAGGTGAAAGAAAAAAGCCACCACACAGTCACTTCCAATCAGAGGGGTAGGTTGCAGGGCCTGGGAGAAAGGAGATTTGCTGATAGATTACTGTGCCTAGAGAGAAAATGAAGAAACCTCTCTTTCTCAAGAGCCTTTTTGATTTGCATTGGAGCCCACCCCCAGGTCCTCGGCTTGGCAATGCAGTGCTGGCTGGAAACACCTGGGCGCGGGGCCCAGGAATTCTGTTTTCTTTTCCACAGGGCCGGGGGAGGCCAATTTGATCTTGGAGGGAAGGAGGGAGAGACGCCAAGAAAGAGGGGAGGGGGAGCAGATTACCCATGCTTTCTGACGTTTGGAGAAAAATGGCATTTGTTAATTACTTATTTTAGGCACAAATACTTCTTCAAACCAATGGGATTAAGTTCTGTGGTGATGCTTAGGGAGAAGCACAGTACACTGACAGGAAGTGGGAGAACCTGAAGGTCCTCTGACCTTACAAAGAATCAGAACTGGACAGAGGTAAGTTTGATTAAGCTCTAAGGAGTACTTGGCAGAACCCCATTGTGGGAGAAGGTTGGATAGGGGAAGCGATGTGGGAGTGGAGTTCTAGAATTTTCTGTTTTTCTTTATATGTGTGTTATTTGTTAATATTCCTGTGAGAATAGATTTAAAAATTCATACTGTTCTTTTCAGTAATAATTGCACAGAACATTTTTCAAATGCAGACATAATGGTTTATTGAAAGCATAAAACAAAGAAACTGGTGGTGAAATTACAGTAAATTATAATAATGTGTTACCTTTGTTTTAAATTTATGAAAGAGGCCAAGTAATTGAGCTTATGAATGTAAACATCCCCAGAGGCCACATGAAAGATGCCAAAAATTTCAAGAGCAAAACATGTCTTGTGAAACATACTGCTTTGTGTGGGTCAAGATGGCCAGGGGGAGACCTATGTTAATTCTAGCTAAATAATTATAAGCTTGCTTGGCTCACAGTACACTGAAGTTTATACACTGAACTAAACTATAGTATTGGTGCAGTTAATTAGAAATTAAGCAGCAACAGGAGGCCTAAGGTAAAGACCATCCTGGAGCACAATAACACCTGGGTACACCTCGGGGTGGTTGCAGAGCAGGCAATACTGCTCCAGTCTCATGAATGCCTTCTCAACATGGAGACTGCACGAGGGTCTCCTAAAGAGGGCTTATGCAAAGATCTCTGAGAAGGGAGGCGACCTCTACTCACAAGATCTGGGAGGGTCTTTGCAGATGGGAGCTGGCAAGGAGAAGAAAAGCCTTGCAGGGTAGAGATCACAGAACACCTCAGCCTCTGCCTGGGTTCTCAGAATATGGAGTGATTTTAATTGCTCTACATCCTCAATGCTCCCGAGATAAAAGCCCCGTGATGCACTGGGTGTGGTCAGACCTGGTGGCTCCTCATCCACTATACTTCCGATGCAGCCGCACCCTGATAACCATGTCTTAGAAGGATCTCAAGTGCTATAAAATGCTCACTAGTTTAGTATGTCTTAGAAGGATCTCAAGAGCTCTCCCCACCCTGGCTATCTTACCTACATCTTCACCATCCCCTTTCACGCCCATAAGATCAATGAGATTATGCACATAATAAAAGTGCTTCCAGCCCAGAGGTCAGGGCCAGTGCAGTTCCCACACTTGCATTGGTCCCCTGGACCCATGCTGTAACATCTACTTTTGTGTCTCTGTCTCTATTTCCTTTTCTCAGGCCCTGGTCACCGCCAGGACTAAGGGCACCCACACACAGGGTTGGCCTGGTTCCCAACACTTCGAGGGATTAAAAGAAAATCAGGTATGTCATATAACCAAAATCACAACTTTTGAGGGGAAGAAGAACTCAATCTCCTGTCTTTCTGAAATTTCCTGATGTGATGACTTTCCAACTTGAACATTTCCAGGGATGACAAATTCACTGCTTTTTATACTAATCCCATTTTAGTTGCTCTATTGCTCTAACCTGTATTTCTTTGTGTTATTTCCCTTTGTTCTTATGTTACCACAGTATACTTAGAATTAATAATGTACCACTTCACATAAAGTTAAGAAATTTATAACTACAGTTCCTCAATTCTTGAACTCCTGACCTCAGGTGATCCACCCACCTCGGCCTCCCAAAGTGCTAGGATTACAGGTGTGAGCCGCTATACCCAACCCCTTTAGTATTGCTTGTAGTACAGAACAGCTACAAATTCTTTTTAGATTTCTAAAAATGTTGTTATTTTGTATGAATGTTTTAATGGTATTCTTACTGGTTACAGAATTTGGGGTGTACAGATTATTTTATTCCCCAACAGTTTTGACCTCCATTTTAATCTGATAGTATTCATATTAATGGTTTTAAGAATAACTTTTTATCATTGGTTTTCTGCAGTTAGTCTATGATGCATGGCTCTTTTTGTATTTATTCTACTGTGGTTCTCTGAGCTTCAAAGACACATAGGTAGGTATTATTCAACAAATTTGAAAAACTTTCAGTCATTATTTCCTTAAATTACTGCACTATCCCCATTTCTCTCTCTTTTCCTTCTGGAAATTCAGTTCAATTAATTGTATGTTGGACCATATGATATGGACTCACAGCTCACCAATACTTTATTTACATTTTTATGGTTTTTTTGCTCATTAAGTTTAATAATTTCTATGGATCTCTCTCAAAAATATGCTGACCCTTATTTCAATTTGCTGTTAAGTCCATTACAAAATTAACACTTTTCAGTGGTAGTATTTCTATTTGGTTCATTTGGGCAGCTTCTCTGTCTTTGATGAGATTTCACATCTGTTCATTCACTAAGACCATCATTTTCTTAACTTTTTAACTTATAGTAACTGTTTGATAAGGTCTGGATATGTGTCCCTGCCAAATCTCATGTTGAAATGTAATCCCCAGTGTTAAAGGTAGCATGTTGGGAGGTGTTTGGATTATGAGGAAGAATTCCCTGTGAATGGCTTAATGCCACTTCCTTGGTGATGAGTGTGTTCATGCTCTGATAGTTCCTATGAGACTTGGTTATTTAAAAGAGTGTGTCCCCTCCCCTCTCTCTCACTCCAGCTTTTGCCACAGAATAATTCAGGGCACACCTGCTCCCCCTTTGCCTTCTGCCATGATTGTAAGCTTTTTGGTGCCTTACCAGAAGCAGATGCTATCACTATGCTTCCTGTACAGCCTGTAGAACCATGAGCCAATTAAACCTCTTTTCTTTATAAATTACCTAGTCTCAAGTATTCCTTTTAGCAGTGCAAGAACAGCCTAACATACTGTTTTACTACTTTATACCAACATGTGTTTCACCTTGTCATGATTTTCTTTTACTTACAATGGATATTTTTAAATTACATACAGGACATTGCAAATAATTCTTCTGAGTTATGCCTTCTTCCTCTACAGAGAAATCATTTTCTGGCAGGCATTTGAGGGCTGATCACCTTTAACATCTGGAGCCATCAGTTTATACTTTAAGGCAGAACTACTGAATGCCTCAAGATTTTACTAGCCTCCTCTATCCTTGATGTTACTCAGATTCCAAACAGTATTTAATTTGCTATATGCAGCAACTGAAATCTTTGTCCAGTCTTTTCAGCTGCTACCTTCTGCTGGTATCACTGGAGTGTCCCCAGTAGATGTACAGTTCCATGGTCAGTCAAGGATTTGAGGATTTTTAATTGACAGGTATTAATGTTATTATCTCTGTTTCTCCCTACTTTCTGGGATTACTCTTAATTTATAACCACTCTGATAGTCTGAAGTCTCTACACCAGTATCCCAACTCAATAATTCTAATGCATTCTACTTGAGTTCTACTACGTTACACCTGAGAACTGGGAGTACCCACAGGGAAAGTGTCTAGCATCACCACAAAAAAATACCTGAAGCTGGGTAATTTATAAAGAAAAGTGATTTAGTTGGCTCATAGTTCTGCAGCCTGCACAGAAAGCATGGCACCTAAATATGCTCTGCCTCTGGGGAGGACTCAGGGAGCTCCTATTCATAGCAGAAGGCAGTGCAGGAGTAGGCATGTCACATGGGGAGAGAGAGAGCAAGAGGGAGAAGGGGAAGGTCCCAGACTCTTTCAAACTCTTTCAGAAACTCAGTTATCATCAAGGGGATGGTGCTAAACCATTCATCGGGGCGCCACCCCCATCATGTAATCACCTCCCACCAGGCCCCACCTCTAATATTAGGAATCGCATTTCAACAGGAGATTTTGAGGGGATAAACATCCAAACCATTTTATTCTACTCCTAGACCCTCAAAAATTATGTCCTTTTCACATTTTTAAATACAATATTGCCTTCACAGTAGTTCCCCAAAGTCATAACTTATTCCAGTGTTACTCAAAAGTCCCAAATTCCAAGGAACAAGTTTTAAAGTTTCAGTTGAAGACAAGTTTCTTTCCACTTATAAGCCAGTGATCGAAAACAAGTTATTTACATGCGAGATACTGTGGTGGCACAGGCATTGGGCAAACATTCCCATTCCAAAAGGGAGAAATTGGCCAAAAGAAAGGGGCAGTAGGCCCCACACAAGTCTGAATCCCAGCAGAGCAGTCATTGAATCTCAAATCTCCAAAATCTCCTTTGACTCCATGTCCCACATCCGGGGCACACTGATGGAAGTAGTGGGCTCCCAACACCTTGGGCAGCTCCATCTCTTTGGCATTGGAGGGTATAGCTCATCTGGCTACCCTTATGGACTGGAGTTGGTTGCCTGTTTTGGTTCCAGGTTGACTTTGCAAGCTGCCAGTGGCTCTACCATTCTGGGATCTGGAGGCTGGCAGCTCCCTCTCCACAGTTCTGTTAGGTAGTGCCCTGGTGGAGACTCTGTGTGGGGGCTCCAACCCCACATTTCCCCTCTGTGTTGCCCTAGTAGAGATTCTCTGTGAGGGCTCTGCCCCTGTAGCAGACTTCTTCCAGGGCAGCCAAGCTTTCTTATACATCCTCTGAAATCAAGGGGGAAGCTGCCAAGTCTTCTTGAAACTTGCATGCTGTGGGCCTGCATACTTAACACTACAAGAAAGCTGCCAAGACTTATGGCTTATGCCCTTCAAAGCAGTGGCTCAAGCTATGCCAGAGGCCCTTCGAACTCTAGGCAGCTGGAGAGGCCAGGATTTGGGGAACAATGTCCAGAGGTTGTGTAGGGCATCAGGGCCATGGACCTGCCCCACTAAACCATTCTTTCTGCCTAGGCCTCTGGACCTTTGATGGTAGGGTCTACCTTAGAGATTTCTCAAATGCCTTCTAGATCTTTTTCTCATTGTCTTTGATATTATCACCTGGTTCCCTTTTAGTCATGCTCATCTCTCTAGCAAGCTGCTGCTCTGCAACCTGCTTATATTTCTCTCCTGAAAATGTCTTTCCCTTTTCAGCCACATGGCCAGGTTCTGAATTTCCAGATTTTTATACTTTGCTCCCCTTTTATATTTAAGTTCCAACTTTAAGTCATTTACTTGCTACAATAACTGATGGTAAACAGTTAAAGCAGCCAGACCACACCTTGAATGCTTTGCTGCTTATAAATTTTTTCCACCAGTTATCCTAGGTGGTCACTCTTGAATTCAAACTTCCACAGAACCCTAAGTCATGAACACACTGCAGCTAAGTTCTTTTCAAGGGTGTAAGAGGGGCTACCTTCACTCCTGTTTCCAATAAATTACTCATTTTCATTTGAGACCTCCTCAGTCTGGACTTCACTATCCATATTTCTATCAGCATTTTGATCAGAACCATTTCACCATTTAAGAAGTTCCAAACTTTCCCTCATCTTCCCGTCTTCTTCTGTACCCTCTAAACTCTTCCAGTCTCTTCCCATTACCCAGTTCCAAAGCCATTTCCACATTTTCAGGTATCTTTATAGCAACACTCCACTCCTGGTACCACTAGTCTACATCAACACGTTTTTCTGTTGTTACAAAGACATATCTGAGGCTGGCTAAATTATAAAGAAAAGAGTTTTAATTGGCTCATAGTTCTGCAGGCTGTACAGGAAATATAGTGCCTGCATCTGCTTGGCTTCTGGTGAGGCCTCCAGAATTTTTACTCATGGCAAAAGCCAAAGCAGCGGCAGAGACATCACATGATGAATGAGGGAACGAGAGATAAGGGGGAAGTCCCATACTCTTAAACAACCAAATCTCATGTGAAATAACTGGGTAAGTACACACTTATCACGGAAATGGTGCTAAACCATTCATGTGGAGGTGGGACCCAACCCCATGATCCAATCACCACCCACCAAACCCTACTTTCAACATTGGGAATCACATTTCAACATGAGATTTAGAGGGGACAAATATCCAAACAATATTACCAGTCAGATCCCTTACAGTTTCTGTCAGCTTTTGATTGTTCTCCAGTGCCTTCAAATAGTTTTTATTTTATGTTTTTCCCAGAGTTTATTATTGTTATCTAGGGAAAGATTATTGCAATCCAAGCTAACTTATCATCATTGGAACTCCAATTCTCACAAACTCATAATTTTTAAAAGCAATTTATTGTCAGACATACCAAACTGTTAGAAATCTTTTGTTATTAAACTAAACCTACATGTATTCTTTGCACCAAAAGAGAATATCTTTCTTACTTACTTAATATAATAACCCTGTAAATTGCTGTAAATAGCTATTAACTTTTCCTTAAGTATTTTCTTCCTAAGACCAAACATCCTTATTTCCTTTTGCTGTTTCTATTTGTCATGATTGCAGATCCCTTACATTGAGATTACCTTCCTTAGGTTTATTCTTTGCCTTCTAATATTTGATCTGATGTTTAGATAATACAATAAGATGTCAATAGGTCTCTACTAATGAGGCGTAACTGCATTAGTTTTATTGGCATATTAATTATTCATAGTATTATGAGTAATACTGTATTTGTGGTTCATTAAGCACCAACATTAGTTACCCTAGAGTCAGTCTCTAAATTTAACAAAAAGTACACAAATGTGTTGAGAAATGAGAGCAGGCTGATGTTGTGGGTGGAGGTAGAGGAGTATAGTGAGAGAAGGGCTCTTTCTAGCACCTGAAGTAATGGCTGGCGGCTTTGCCAGTAAACAATACAAAGCAAATTGCCAATCGTTTTAAATACTACCCTCATATATAAATATTTTGCCACTGCCTTATCCTCATTTCTCCATCTGGTTACATTCCATTCATTCTCCCAGACTAATTTTAAGTATTAACCACTTTGGGAATCCTTCCATGACCTCTCCGTTCTGATTTACTGAGTACTTTGAGCTGTGTTCTATACTGTGCTGGAGATTCAGTGGAAAATAAGACAGGGTTTCTGCCCTCCTAGAACTTACATTCTTGTTAGGGCAGAGCCAATAAACAAGTATTCCTGTCACAGTTGCAGCTTCCTGAGAACATTGGAAAAGTGCTCACCTTGGCTTCAGTGTGGCCTGGCCTGAGACATAGTTAGTAGTAGTAGTCGTTACATCCCAGCAGATTAGCTTTACTTCTTGATGAATAAGATGAATATTCATCACTGGTGAATATATATAAAGGGGAATTTATTAAGTATTAACTCACAGGATCACAAGGTTCGACATGGGCTGTCTGCAAGCTGGGGAGCAAGGATAGCCTGTCGTGGCCCAAAACTGAAGAACTTGGAGTCCAGTGTTTGATGGCGGAAAGCATACAGCACAAGAGAAAGATGTTAGGCTGGGAGTCTAAGCCAGTCTAGCTTTTTCACGTTTTTCTGCACTTTTTATATTCGATGGCAGCTGATTAAATGGTGCCCATCCACATTAAGGGATAGTTTGCCTTTCCCAGTCCACTGACTCAAATGTTAATCTCCTTTGGCAGCACCCTCACAGACACACCCAGGATCAATACTTTGCATCCTTCAATTCAATCAAGTTGACACTCGGTATTAATCATTGCAATTACTTTTCCATATAGTCCAACCATCTGGTATATACATACACATACTGATTTGGTATATCTTAAATTAAATTTCTAATTCTATTTCTTAGCAAGTCTCTTGGCACAGAAATAGTTGGGTAAATCTTACACGTTATTAAGAGGAATTAATGAAAACATTTTCATTTAGGTTCATTAAAAAACAATAATTAATGATCACACACTGGTCTTTACAAACTCCTTTTGACATACTTATCTTTAATGTTTATTAAGGCCAAGATGAGTAAAGAAATTTTATCAAGTAAAGATGTGTAAACATAAATTGTGAGAGGTTAAATAGTAAGTTCATGAGTTTGTCAAATGTTGTTGAACGAATTCATTAATGTTGTTGTAGAAAGTTAACCTACACATTATGACTTTAAGTCCAATGCCCTTTTTAGTACATCATGTGATGTCTATTAAAAAGAACACCACCACCTTAAATAGGAAACTGCTGATGTTCATGTAAAATAAACATAAACAACAAAATTAAAAATGAGCCCATTAGCTCCATGTGCAGTATGATTCAGCCATCTCATGTAGCTGTGAAACAAATTGATGCCAACTTAATCTATGTTAGTAAATGTCTAGTGTCCAAGAAAAGAAGGTCACATCTTTTTACTATATTCTGCAATGCTAAGAATGTGTCTGGAATATCTTTTAGTTCCTGGGCTTTGTCTTAAATGAAGTTGTAAAAAGTTAAAATGTCTTAAAGAATGGCCATTCTAGCAAGAGAGCATGGGGATATGGCTTCATTGGAAGAACAGCTGAAAAGAGGGACATGGACATATTTCGCCCACAAAAAAAGAAGATTCAGGAAGGAGGATGAGTGGGTCACTTGTCATGTACCTAAAGAACTATTCAAAAGCTACTTTGCATCTCAAAGTGTCAGAGCTAAGAACAAAGAATGTCATTTTTAGGTGAGGACAACAGTTTCCATCTAATATATCACTTTCTAACAATTAGAACTCTTCAGAAGCTTTAAAAGGCTACCTCAATCAGACACAAAGGGCTGCTGTGAAGTATGTTGTACAGAAGGCTCCACACTGCATGATTCTTACCCAGCCTTCAGCAGTTTAACCGGAGAAGGGAAGAATGGAGGGGTTCAGTTTTTAGTGCAAGAGATCATACACAATACCATAATCATGAAAAGAGCTTGTCCACAAATGGTTATGATGGTTTAGATAAGTTATATCAATCATGAAATTTTACATTTGAGAGATTGGGTACAGTATATTTACTCTCTCTTTCTCCCTCTTTTATATGAATAGTTGAAATTAGTATAACACATTTCATTATATCAAAGTACACTTTGGTGTTCAGGAGACAGACCAGAAGGCAGAGGTTTCAGTTAATGTCCTCAGTTTAGCAGCCACATCTTTAAGGGATAGAGTGATCCGGAGCGAAAATTGTCGTGTTTGGCCTGCACCATCAGGTTAGAATAGACAGCTATTCCTGCACAACCCTCTCTGTTGAAACCCATATGAGGCTGACTAAAGCACATCTGGAACTGCTCAACAGGTCAACTGGAACTGGAGATTTTGTAGCACAGCTTTATATCTTTGCAGAGGCTTTATACTCTTTAGTTTGGATACTTTCACTCTTTTGTGTGGTTCTGTAAACAGAGAGTAGATGTTAGGTCCCCAGGATTTGGAGTCAGACAAGACCAGCTGTGCCCCTTGACATGTGTGTGCCCCTGTATATGTCCTCTTCTGTAATAGTAAAATATCAGTAATGTTTACTACACTCAGTTGTTGAAGATTGAGATAACCATATGTATGGAGAGTTTAGCACAATACATAGTAAATATTAAGTCCTGGAAAAATATTGTTGATTTTTAAAATTATATATATGCTTCTTGTTTCAAGCAAGTGTGAATCCACAATCAAGGATAACTTTATGAAGAGCCCAACTACAGCTTCGTACCCAGCCAAGACTTTTGGGATTGCTATTTTGCCAGTTGTCTACATTAACTGTTGTTTATTGAACAATATGATCTGTAACACAAAGTTCATTATAAAAAAATGAAATAAATACTTGTCATAAATGTTATCTGTTGGAATACAGAAATATCTTTATTTCAATTGGTGATTTTATTTTATTGTTTTCTTTGAGATATGAGAAGGTGGAAATGAAGAGAGCACTATGGAATTAAATCAAGGTGTATGTATATATGTCTATACTTCTATACGTGTGTGTGTGTAGTTTTGGTTTCTGTAGCAGGAGGCTTTAGAAAGGTAGCGACTGCACGGTCACCCTGCCCTTCATCACTAACTCCTACGTGTCTGCTAGTCCTAAGTAAAGCGGATGTGAATGTCCATGGGTGTCTGTGTGCAAGTGAGGCACTGTGTTCTATGGTGGCTATGGTGTGAGCAACTGATGCAGAACCATGGACTCAGACTGGATGAGACCCTGAAAGCCAGGATTCACATACTGAAGCCAAGAAGAAACTGAAGCATGCACAGATCCTTCCTACAGAGCATAGGTGAATAGGAGGATTTGAATATTTGACTGCATCATGATGAGTTTTCTTCAGATATCTCTGAAAAGAACAGCTGACTTGCTTGCTTTTATTCTATCATCAGTCTTTTCAGAGTAGAAGCCAATGTTCTGACAATGACCTACGTGATCTGGTATCTCTGACCTCATCTCCCATTCCACTGTTATTCTCTTTATGCTCTTTCTGTTATGCTCTTTTGCGTCTTTCTGTTTCTTAAACTTCAAGACTACTCTCCTATCTCAGTATCTTTGCGATTATTGTATCCTCTTTCTCAAATAGTATGCAATTTTCTCATTTAAAATGCATATATTTATGAATGCATTTATTAAATTTATTTTCTGCTCCTGCCAAACAATATTATCTCCAATAGTCATGGAAAATGAAAGAGTAAAAAAAAATCTATGCACAATGGAGACAACTTCAGGATTTAAAAATACATTTAGTAAGAAATTTATTAGGCCTTCATGAAGGAGACTAAAATTTCAATAAATATTGTAAAATCTAGGAAATGTAGGCAATGATTTTAGATGAGAATACTCAAGATTTTAAAAATCAATACATAGTAATTATCATATTAGTTTAATCTGCAAAACCCGTAACTTTTAAAAAATTGACTGAAATGACCTTCAAATAAATGGGGTAAAATAAATGCCCAGGAATAGTTTAAAAAATATTGGAAGTGTAATTTTGCATATAGTTCACAGTAACAGAGCCACTAAATATTATTTTACAATGACTCAATACAAAAAATAATTTTTCAAATCATGTGCATTAGCTTTAAAAACTTTATGTGGCAGCAACTCAGTGCTCTATACTCACAAATATATAAAAATTATCAAAAGTTTTGCCAATCCATGTTGCTATGATTAGGATGTTTCCTCCTATTACCTCTATTTCACATCTAGTACATAGCTCCATATAAGAATAATGCAGATTTACAGGAAGTAAATATGTAATATTAATGGTATGGAAGAATATCACAAATAGAACAAGGTATGTTGTTTTGAAACCTCTTCCTAAATATTAATTATGGATTTGTACCACACACCTATATTCTTAATTCAAACATTTGTGTCATGAATAGCTACTTGAGTGAAAAAAAAAGTTTTGCTAATCTATATTTTACTTTTTCTGGTCTGACCCTCGTAGTATTTCTTCCTTTCATAATTATACTATGATGAATGTAAAATCTTAGAGAAATAGGACTAGTAGAAATGGGTTGGTCTACAGACCCTAAAAGATAAACAATGCAAAATTATAGAGCATTTAAAAAATAAGTCTGTTACTTCTCATGAATATATAAAATTAGTTTGTTTTCAATGTTTGTATATCTTTTTTTCTGATTAAACGTATATTTCCTTCTGAGAGTAATGATTTCTGGACTAATGCTACAAAAACAACAAAAAACAAAACAAAAGACTCCATTCATTTCCTACTCATTGAATTTAGTCAGCCGTTTTCCTGTTTTCCTTTAACTTCCCTAGCCCATTGACCTTCTTATGGTCACAGTGAAAATACTTAATATTTTTCCTAGCTGGGGATGCTGGCTTGCACTTGTAATCTTAGCATTTTGGGAGGCCAAGGAGGGCAGATCACTTGAAGGCAGGAATTTGAGACTAGTCTGGGCAACATGGTGAAAGTCCGTCTCTACTAAAAATTCAAAAAAATTAGCCAGGCATGGGGGCGTGTGTCTGCAATCCAGCTACTGGGGAGGCTGAGGCAGGATAATCCACTGAGCCTGGGAGATAGAGGTTGCAGTGAGCAAAGATCATGCCACTGCACTCCAGCCTGGGCGACAGAGGAGTAAGACTGTCTCAAAACAAAACAAACACACAATATATTTCCTGATTGTGAAAATTATTTATGAAAATTCAAACAGCACAGAAAAGAGGGAGTTGGCCTGTCAGGTGAAAACATACATGCTTAAACATTTCCTTGAATGTAGATCATTCATTGAATGTAGTTCAGTTCATTCTTAATTTCAAGATTGTATTTGTCAAATACCAAAACATACACGCCCATTCTGGCAGTATGTGAAAGTTGGACTTGACAATCTGGTCTAGTTGATTCCATTTCAATTAACCACCCTGTAGCAGCATATTGTGCCAACCTTTGGGCCCTGGGCAGACAGATGTTGCCTTTGTGGATTGAGAACATGCACAAGAAAGTGTCTGCTTCCTCTTAGGTCCCTTCTCTTTTGTCCTGGCAGTCCTTCTGTCACTTCTATTCCTTTGAAATGTCTATCTCCTATATCTTCAACTTGTTCCTTTTTTTTTTTTTTTTTTTTTTTTTCTGTTTTCATCCTCTTAGCCAAAGGCTTGTCTCTCCCATCGAAAATAATTCATCAATTGTATCTACTTCTCCATACACTCAATATTTCATCTTATTTCTTCTCTTCTTCCCTACCAAGAATATTGTTGTATTTAATCTCCTGTTCATTTCTCAGCTATTTACAATCTGGCTTGTTCTCTTATTTGTCCATGGAAATGATTCTGACATAGTTCTCCAGTGACCTTTGGATTTCCAAATTCAGTGGGAACAATTCAGAATTTATTGTACTCTCCCTGGCTCTCTGTTCCCTGACATCATACCCTTCTGGTTCTCAGACTTTTGGAAGTATTTGCCTCTTTCATGACATCTTTTCTACACAACCCTTAAATGTTCATGTTCTCCAGGATGCTTTACTTGGCAAACCTCTACTGGATAATCTCATCTTTTTAAATGTTTTCAGTGATTACCCACATATTAAAAATCCCCAAACTCTCGTTACCACATACATGTCTGTCCTCAGCTACAGACTCACAAATCCAGCTAGCTACTGGACATTTCCCTCTGCTTACCACATGACATTCTAAATTCAACAGTTTCAAAAACAAACTGATTTTATCCCAGATACATTCATGTATGTTCTTTGTCTTGATTGGCGGCTCTGTAATCCACTTAGCTAGAAGCCAGGATTTTTCCCCAAAACTTCTCTAAACTTTACTAACCACTTCTAATCAATTGTTACATATGTATTGATTTTGTCTCTCAAGTATTTCTCAAATTATTTTTCTCTTTTATCTTCTTAATACCACTAAGGTATTTAAAGTGTCTTCATCTTATAGACAGTTATGATGATATAATTAAAATACAATTCTAACTACTTTAGAACCCTAATTAAATCCTTTGGTGTCTCATTGGCACATACAGGATAAAGCCCAACCTCTTGGAATGTATATGTGGCCCCTCTGCCTGTCTTTCACCTTCTCTCTCATCACTTCCTAACACTATGTTCATCAAAACCCAGTTGCTAGCAAATGCCCCATACCCCATGCTATCTGTCATATCTCTTTCTTTGCTCATGTCATCTCCTCCTTCTGGAATCCCTTTCTACTTGTAGTCCCTATTTCTGTCCTTTACTTGTGTAACTCCTATGTAAGATTTAACTTAGGCCTTACTCCCAAAGCCTTTCTAACCGTTTCTTTTTTGCTATCTGTTATGGTTTGGCTATATCCCCACCCAAATCTCTCTTGAATTCTCAGGTGTTGTGGGAGGGACCTAGTGGGAGGTAATTGAATCATGGGGGCAAGTCTTTCCCATGCCATCTTTGTAATAGTGAGTAAGTCTTACGAGATGTAATGGCTTTATAAGGTGGAGTACCTCTGCACAAGCACGCGCTCTCTTTTTTCTGCCTGCCACCATCCACGTAAGATGTGACTTATTACTTCTTGCCTTCCACCATGATTGTGAGTTATTCCCAACCATGTGGAACTGTGAGTCCAATTAAACCTCTTTCTTTTGTAAATTCCCCAGTTTTGGGTGTGTCTTTATCAGCAGTGTGAAAATAGACTAATAAATACACTCTCTTTCCATCATCCCATTGTGTAAAATGATCTTTCTATAGGTTCACCAGTGGCTCTCTCTATCATCATTCTCACATGTATGGTACAATCAGCTTTGTGGGTATATGTATGTGTTTATCTTCCCTATAAACTATAGTAAAGACTGTGTCTGTGTTGGTACTTATAAAACCCCAGTTCTTAGCATATTGGCTAAGATTTAGTGGTTGCATTCAATATAAAACTTTTTCTTTTTTTAAATAAAGATAGGGTCTCACTGTGTTGCCCAGGCTGGTCTCGAACTCCTGGCCTCAGTGATTGTCCCACCTGAGCCTCTCAAAGTGCTGGGATTACAGGCATGAACAATCATGCCCAGCCTCAATACCTATCTTGGATGGACAAATGCATTGTATCTTTTACTAGAATTCTGGAAGAGTCACTTAGTGAGTGTTAATTAAACAAAAAGTAGTACATTGTCACAAAGGACATAATGTTTGTTCCGTTTTTTTAAATTTCACCTTGTTTTAATTATATTAAAATCTATATAAAATTTAATGAATTAAAATTTTTAAATACCTCCTGAAAACGAACAATCACTGAGCACATATTTCTTAAATTAAATCTTTCAGTGGCATTTGGTATAATTTTTTTCCCCATTATGATTGTACACATCCGAAGAAGAAGGTAAAACTAACGTTTTATTTAACTACATTTATACATTCCTACCCTTTACACTAAGGGGGTTTTCAACAAGATTATAATTGTTCTTGGATATAAGAACAAATATGATAAATGTTACTACATCTACCCCTAAATTAACCATGAGCCAGACATGTCTAATA